TGGTGCAAGACGAGTATGGTGTCATGCAGGCCTTACAGTATTCTCCGTGCCGCCATCCATGCGGTGCAGCCTGCGTGGCGCAGGGTGCGTGGAGCCTTCTGTGCGATGCGCCCTGTGCAGTGCAATCTTCAGGAGGAAAAGAAACACACAGACACAATTAATCCTCGATTCCCCAGAAAATATTAGAAAATATGGGAAGTGGGGGGGAAGACAGAAACCCAGAACATATGGAAAAATATGGGGAACCCTTTTATTTGTGTATATCTACTTGTGTGTCCCGGGGCCCCTTGAAACCTGTGTGGTGCAATCCACATAAGGAGCCGCCGGAGCGTTGCGCAACGGGTGTGACGTGCCACCCGTGCGGAGCACGAGCGGCCACGGGGCGACCCGCGGCGGCGACGGGGCGACGGCGGGCGGCGACCGGCCGCGCGCATCTCGAAAGACCTCCGCCAGCGCAGGGGGCAGACACGAGGCGGGCACGGGTGGAATCCCTCCGAAAACATGGAGCGCGTTTCTTTATGTTCGGCGATGACGGGCGTCATGGGGGGGGGGGAGGGCGGGGGGGGGGTATGACGTGACGCCCCCCCTCCCGCCATGTGGCTCCCAATGCGGGGCGGATTCCTACGCGGACACCTACGCGGATCCCAATGCGCACGGCGGCAGTGCCCCGGAGCGCACTGGGGGGGTGAGCGTTACGTCATAGGGTGGGGGGGGAGGCGGGGGCCATGACGCCCGTCATGCCCCAAGCAAGAAAGAAACGGGCTCCTCCGAAAACATGGGCCGTCTAGATCACCAACTCGACGCATAGCGAGAATCCCTCCAGGCGAACACTGCTTGGGGAACCGTGGATCCGCGTCCCCAGAGCAACACGGCCTCGCCACGAACCGAGGGATTGGCGCTTCCGGGGGCCACGATCTTGTGTGTCGGTGGCGACAATCATGGATGCGCGTTCCAGGAGCCGTGATTTTCCTGGGAAGAAGCCTTGGAACCGTGCTCCCGACATCGCGATTCCGCATGGAAAACAAAAAGGTCCGCACTCGCGAGGCCACTATTCCAGACAGCAATCCTGATGCGCCCACGCTTCCAGGGCTGGTGGGTGTGCGCTCCCGAAGCCGCGATACTCAGTGAGCAACCATGGATCCGCGCTCGCGAAACCACGATCCCTCGCAACGCACCGATGGTTCCGAACTCCCGAGGCCACGACCTTCCGCAGCAGAATATGCTCCGAATCCGCTATCCCGCCAGCCAGCCAGCCAGCCAGCCAGCCAGCCAACGAAGCGAGCTGCCAACCTGAAGCGAGCTGCCAACCTGCCAGCCACTCAGCCGATCAACCAACCGACCCAGCCATGCAGGCAATCAGAGGAAGAGGGGCGGCGGCATGGGGCGAAGCCCTTCGAATATCCAAATGCTGCATTGGCGATGTGGGGGCCCTGCTGCGGTAGAGCGCTCCGTAACCGGACTTGCGAGCCTCGAGCTCCCGCTCCTCCGCCCGCGTCAGGTCCTCCTCCTCCCTGTGCGCCAGATGATCGAGCTCCTCCATCGTGAGGAGCTTCCGCAGAGGCCTCATCCCCTCGCTGTGGACGAGGTGGGCCGCCTTCTCGACGTCCTCGCGGAGGTCCCGCTCCGCGTCGTTCCAGCGGTCCCCCCAGTCACTGTAGATCCGCCTCATGTGGTCGAACTCGTCCATCGCAGCTTCGGCAACGGCCGCGACCTCCGCGACCCTCACGAGGTCTGGGTCCAGGCGGTGCAGCTCCAGGGCTGCCCCCACGTAGGTCCTGTGCAGCACCATCTTGGAGCGGCCCCTGTCTACGCTGCTCGGGTCCGAGTCGATCCTGGGCAGGGACTCGGTGGTCAAAGACCAGCAGCTGTCCGCGGGCCCGGCGAGCATGTCGTCTTCCTGGGCCACCTGGTGTATGAGTACGCAGCGCACTGGCACGTCGTCCACCTCCATGTGGGGCTGCGACATGCGGATAATGGACCGCTTCTTCTGGGCGACGAGCATCCGCTGCCCGACGAGGAAGTCCGCCTGCCCGTTGTCGCCACAAAATCCGCCAACGTGCCTGCACGGAGTGGGCGTGTTAGAACCTGGACTGGAACGGGACCGAAAAGAGCGCCTCGAGAACTTGCCCGAGAGGGCTGATGGCGCCGTTCGCTCTTGGAGCTTTGGCGTTCAGAACTTGTTAACGTCAATCTTCGGTCTTTGGAACCTTAGCGTGAAGGTCTTTTTCACGTCATCGTTCGCTCTTGAGAACCGTGGCGTTGTAAGGAACTCGTTTACGTAACATCTCGCTCTTGGGAACCTTGGTGTGAAGTACGTCACCGTGAGCTCAGATTGGTCGACCCACAAGGGGTTCAGCTGAAAGGGGGTGGTGCAATAAATTTGGGGCAATTGTATTGCAAATGTATTGCGCCGGAGAGTTGTATTGCATTGCATTGCGTTGCGTTGCATTGCGACAAACGCATTGCGCGCGAAAATCCAGCAATACATTTGCGCCCCCCCAGACTGTATTGCACACCCCAAATCTATTCCAATCCCACAAATATCTTAGAGGCCTCCTAGATGGGGTCGGAGTAGATTGGGTCGGAGGATCGCGCCGCATCGCCGATATGTCGGCGATGCATCGGCGATGCATTGGCGATGCACCGGCGATGCATCGTCGACGTGGGCGATGCATCGGCGACGTCGACGTCAAGCACAACGGGCTCCACATCGAGCCGCATCGCCGATGCGTCGGCGATGCGGAATGATCCTTCGACCCATCTACTCCGACCCCATCTAGGAGGCCTAGATATATTGCACCACCCCCTTTTCGCTGAACCCCCTTGTGGACCAACCAGGTCAGAGCTGCTTACGTCACCGTTAGCTCTTGGGAGCCTTGGCGTTAAGATCTGTGTGCGTCACCATACGCTCTTGGGAACCCTGGCGTTAAGAGCTTTCTGCGCTACTGCTCGCTCTTGGGACCCTTGGCGTTCAACGCTTTTCACGTCACCGACTCGTGTAAAAAAAAGCTTCCCAATGACCTGGTGCTCTTGGGAACCTTGGCAACAAAGCTGCGTGCATCATTGGGCCGTCCGGGGGGGTTCTCTGGGGGCCCTTTTCGGTGTGTTGGGGCCCTCTTGGGCCGTTCTGGGGCTCTCTTGGGGTGCTTGGCCCGTCTTGGGCCCTCTTGGCAGCCTCCTGCGCTACTCTGGGTGCTCTCTTGGGAACTTCTTGGGGCTCCTCATGAGCCGTCTTGAGGCTCTCTGTGGCCGTCCTCGGGCTTCCTTGGGCCGTCTAGGGGCCCTCTTGGGAGCCTTCAATCTCGGAGGCCCTCAGGGCCGTCTGCGACCGAGCTGGGCCCGAAAAGGCGAGAACCCCAACAACCATGAAACACCTGGGGGGCGGCAATGCTTTTTACCTTCTCAGGTAGCTTTGTGTATCCTCTTGGAGGCACTTTCGGCCGTCCTGAGGGCTGTCTTGGGAGGCTTGGGCCGTCGTGGGGCCCTCGTGGGCCCTCTTTGCAGCCCCCTATGGCCCTCTTGAGCTCTTTTGGGGGCCGCTTGGAGCCCTCTTTGGCCCCTCTTGGAGCTCTCTGCGTCTTGGGGCCCTCTTGGCCGTCTGGGGGCCCTCTTGGGAGCCTCCTGGGTCGTCCTGGGGCAATCTCGGAGGCCCTCAGAGCCATCTTCAGCCGATCTGGGCCCGAACAAACGAGAAGCCTCAATGGACAATCTTGTAGAAATCAATGCTTTTGGCCTCCTCAGGCCGTCTTGGGGTTCTTCTTGGGAGGCTTTTGGGCCGCCCCAGGGGCCTCTTGGGCCGTCTTGGGGGACGTGGGCCGTCCTGGGCCCCGCTCGGTGCCCAGTTCGGCCCTCTTGAGGGCTTCCCACGGCCCTCCTGGTGTTCTTTCGGGGCCCTCTTGGACTGTCTTGGGGCTCTCTTGGGCGGTCTTGGGGCTCTCTTGGGCCGTCTTGGGGCGATCTGTCGGGCCTGTTCTTCTTGACCCAGAAAATGGGAAATCCCCAAATCCATTCAACAAGAATGGACAGCTCATGTATTATTCTTCCTCTGGGCCTCTTGGGAATCCTCGTCATGGCCTCTTTGGGCGTCTTGGGGACCTCTTGGGCCGTGACGAGACCATCATGAGCCCTCTGGGAATGCTTTTGACTGTCTTCGGGTCCTTCTGGGTCTGTCTGAGGCCGTCTTTAGGGCTTCGTTGGCCGTCCTGGAGGTCATTTGGACCGTCTTGAGGCCTCCAGGGCCCAAAAAAGCAGCCACCATGAGCCCGGGAGGGCTTTTTGGAAATGTCGCCTCGCCCTGTTCAGAATATCTCTTGCTGGCGCTCTTTCCGTCATGCTCTTCTGTTGTCTGGTGACGTTTCTTTACGTCGTGTTTTCTAGGGTCAGCCCCAGCCCCTACCCTCGACCGCCGCTCGAAAACCGCCCCCCTCTCCGGAGCCGATGCCAGCACATTTTCCATATCAAGTTGCGCATGCAATAGGAAGGGGCCGAAAACAAGCCCCTCCAAGCGGGAGTCAAACACAAGCCCCCCGAGGGGGGTCAAACCAGCAAAGGCGCCCCCCCTCCCCCCCAGGGAGGTCAGAACAGGCTCCCAAGAGGCCTCCAAGATGTCCCCAAGGAGTCCCCATGATGCCCCCAAGAGTACTCCACGAGCCCCCCCAACAGACGCTCGAAGGGCGGCCCCAACAGCCATGCGAGGCCTCCGAGAGAGGTTCGAGCGGCTCCCGAGGAGACTCCAATAGGCGCTGGAAGAAAAAACGGAGAGGAGAGGGCAGAGAAGGAGCAAGGGAGAATACGGTAGGGGCTCGACCACAAGAAGCCTTCCAAAGAAACCCAACCCTGAGACCCCAGGACGTCCATTGATTTTTGGTGCGGGGACGTTACGCCTTCCATCGCAAAACCATCGAAACCGAAGAAACCCAGGGCACCCTGGAGGCAAGCAGGGTGCTTCCTAGCATGGATTTCCACTGTGAAGAGGATAACGGGGCTGCGAACGAGGAGAGGGTGTTCAAGGTCCGCTTCAGTTCAGCGCCCTGTCTGAACTTGAGCGGGCCTTGAAGAAAACCTACTTCAAGCAGCGCCGATGCACTGCCGCGCTGGCACGGTGGCAATGTTTGCCGCAGGCAGCCGTATATAAAGTCGTACTCGCGATAAAGCCTCTTGAAGTTCACAAATGTTCTGGACTTCCGATCGCCCACGGGCTTCCAAGCAAGGGTCTTCATGAACGCAAAGCAGCCCAACGCCCAGAGCCCCTCCCATATGCGGCCTGGCAGCAACGTGGGGAACGTGTGTATGCGCCCCTCCCGCTTGAGCCGCCGAAACAGGTCGTACGTGTGGTCCTCGGCCAAATCCTTGTAGATGTGGGGCCTCGCGGAGAGGAACACCACGTTGCAGCACGGGGCCTCGGGGTCGTACCCGCTGTCCAGGACCCGGAGCAGCCGCAAGAAACCCGGGTAGATGGCCCCACGCGGGAAGCGCCTGTCGCAGCCGGCGGGGAACTTTCCCCCGCTGCAGTACAGCGTGTCGTCCACGTCGCTTAGGATCTTCGCGCCGGCGGCTCCGCCGAGCACACTCCGCACCTGAACCGCCTGCTTCTTCAGGTGGTTCAGGATCTCGTCCTGGTACTGCCTGTTCGAGATGTCGTGGTAGATGAGCTTGTAGAGGTTCTGATAGCTGGAGGCTTGGAAGTGGGCACCAGCACCAGCTCAGGGGGCTGCCCCCGCAAGGGGGAGGAGGATCCTGGCTTTGGGGCGTTGGCGGTCACGTTTCGGCCACCCGCGAAGCCCGAGGCTTACAGCCAGCACCGAGCATCGGGATCCTCCTCCCTCGGTGGAGGCGACCGCCGATATCGGTGTCGGTGCCAACCTCTACACCGTAGTGGTCGGTTCGCCTTGCAACAGGTGTAGGACTCGAACCGTGGCTGCAACCCCCTTGCAAGGCGCCTGCAACTGGGCTGCAAGCCCGCCTCACTGCTCCAAGTCTGAGCAAGTCGCGGCCCCATCAGGGAGCAGCTGGGCGGACTTGCAAGCGCCTTGCAAGAGGGTTGCAACCACCTTGCAACTATTGTAAGTCACAGCGATCACTGCAGGAAGCCTCCGAGATAGCTGCCGCTGCCGTCGAGCAAGTTCTTGAGGGCTGTGAGCTCCATGCCCTCGCAGCTCAGGATGATCTGCGTGACCTCCCGCTGGCCCCGCAGGCGGATGCCCCGCCGCTGCAGGCCGTCGAGGAGTATTGCCTTGGAGGTGGTGCAGAGCATCCCGTGGTCCAGCGCGGTGGAGGTGAGCACGCACACTGTCTTCCACAACGCCACCTCCCACGGCACCCGGAGACCCACCGGCAGAATAAAACGTCATTAGCAGAAGAACAACTGCCATAAACATAAACTGTTGTCGTTCCACGCGGTGTTTTCGGGCGCGCTCCTCGCGCCAGGGGCGGCGCCTCGTGGCGCCCAAAGTTATAGTTACGGCTTTTTTTTTTTTTTTTTTTTTTTTTTTTTTTTGTTAAAAAAAAAAATAGTTTTTTTTGTTTCTTCTTATTCTTCGTCATGACGTTGTGGAATGATCGCCGCATGCACGTGTTCGTTCATGCTTGCCATGCCATCATACGCGCAGAACTGTGCCACTCGTGCACTTGCTATTTCCCCATGCCACTGCCAGTTTCACTCGAGTCCTGACGGCCCCAGCAGTGGACGACACGTTGACATGCGTACTGAAAACTGCACGGGCTTGAGAGCGCCATACGAGTCAGGCGTGAGGATGGCTGGGACAGGTGCAGCCGCAACGTGGCCACAAGAAGGTGGATCAAGAACATCAGCCACTTTGCCGAGGGCTCAAGTCCCCGTGGAGCTATCCCAAACGAATGATATTCCGAGGCGGAACGCTGCAATGCTGAAGAACATAAGGGTACACCTGCCAAGCTGCGGCTGGTATCAGCTCGTGCCAGCTGGAAGAGGAAGATAAGGCTGACGAGAAGAGGAGCTGGAGGACGATGAGGATGAGGGTGAGCAAGAAGACTAAGGGCAGGGGCGGGAAGAGAAGGATTTGCAAATCAGGCAGAGGACGAGAAGGCGACTCACCCAAGCAAGCCCATGTTGTTGAGTCGGCAGCGTGAATCGCAGCGAGGGGCCTCCACGAGAGTACCAACGTTGATCATCTTGATCACGGCGCGGAGTACTCTCTTCTGCCTCTGGCGCACCATGCCCTCGCGCCGGCGGGGATGGTCTCTCTTCGAATCTGCCAACTCCTGTCGAGTCTGAGAGAGAGAGAGAGAGAGAGAGAGAGAGAGAGAAAAATATCCAGAAAGCCACAGGTGCTGGACCCCAAGGCTTTTCCCAGGACGCGGGCAGCCTTTGCAGGGGCTCCCAACTTCGCGCTTCGCACTGCGCGAAGCGCGAAGTGCGAATAACTTCGCGCTCTCGCGCCGCCTCCCAGGAAAGAAAAGGAGGATGAGGAGGAATTGGAGCCGAAGCGCGATGCGCGACGCCCGAATAACTTCGCGCCCTCGAGGACGCCCTTGCTTTGAGGGCCCGGGGGCCTGGGAAGGACCCCGGGAGGGGCCGAATGTGGCGAAGCGACCCGGGACCCCTTCTCGCCAAGGGCGAGCCCGCGCTGAGCTGGTGGAGGGCACTCCTCGCCACCGCTCGGGCGTCCACCCCCCGTGCGCTCCCCGGCCGCGTGCGTGCTCCGGCCGCACAGAAAAGGGATCCGGGAGGCTCCTTGATGGCCCTCGCCGAGAAGCGATGCATACGCCCGAGCGATGCCAGGATCAAGTCGGGCCTGTCCCTCTACAGGGAGAGTGTTAAAAAATAGTCAAAAAAATAGTCGGGGGACGATTTTTTGTCAATTTTTGAATACTTTAGGGTATTTTTTCTGACTATTTTTAAATTTTTCGTCCAAAGTCCCCCTGTAGGGGGACAGGCCCGACCTAAGGCCAGGACTCCTCTCCAGAGCCGGAGCCCGCGCCCGGAGAGCCCTCCCGGCACGACCAGCGGGGGCAATCCCCGAGGCATCGACGTGGTCCCGCGCCACAGGTTTCTCTCTCTCTCCCTTCTTTTTGTGTCTCTCTCTCTCTCTCTCTTTTTTTTGTTCTCTCTCTCTCTCTCTCTCCTCGATACATACATAGATATATACCGACACATATATATATGTATATATATATATATGTATGTATGTATGTATGTATGTAAATATATAAGTACATACGCATGCCCAAATAGACTACCGCGCACATGCGCACTGGTTGCTACCCACGGTTGGCTTGCGAGGCTTGCGGCCAGATCGAGCCAGTGCAGAGCACAGGGTCCCCCACGGGAGAGTTCCACGCAGACGAGAGGCGGGAACCCCTGCGAGCGCGCGCGCGCCGCTCGGGCTGCAGGTGGAGCTCCCGTGGCACCCACCCCGCGGAGCAGGACCCTCCGCCGAGCACTGGGGGGGGGGCCAGGGACGTAATGAAACAAGAAGAGTCGCCATGAGATCTGGGGAAATCTCATGGCCCCCGCCATGATATCCACCCCCCCCTCAAGTCATCACCCCCCTCTTTTCCGCCCCCGATGTTTGGGGCACCTCGTCCTTCGGGCTCCACCTCGCAAAGGCCAGCTTCGAGCCGCCGACGTCCCCGCCGAGAGGGGGGGAGCGCCCGCCCAGGGTCGGCGAAGGAGCTTGGACCCTTTCGCGGAGCGCGCACAGGGGGAGGGGGAGGAGGAGGAGGAGGAGGAGGAGGAGGAGGAGGAGGAGGAGGAGGAGGAGGAGGAGGAGGAGGAGGAGGAGGAGGAGGAGGAGGAGGAGGAGGAGTGGCTGCGCGCTCCACGGCCGTCCCTTCTGGGGCCAGGGCGGGCCGAGGAGGGGCCGGCCCCTCCGAGGGTCCGCCGTCCGCGCGAAAACGATTCGCGCGAAAACTGCGGCCGTTCGAAAGAAATTCGCTGGGCGCGCGCGCGCGAAAAGGTGCGCGCCGGCTCCTGGCGCTCCCGCGGCTGCCGGGAACCAGGATTTTGCAACGCGGCGGCCGCCGCGGCGGCCACCGCCTCCTCGGCGCAAGGCGGAGTCGATGCCAGGGGCCCACGGCGGCCCAGAGGAGGGCGGGAACCATGATTTTGGAGAGATCGAGGCTGGAAAAGCCAAAATTCCCGGTTCCCGGCTCTGTCTGGCGCCCCAGGGACCCACGGCGACCCAGAGGAGAGATCGAGGCTGGAAAAGCCCGAAATCCTGGTTCCCGGCTCTGTCTGGGGCCCCTGGGACTCATGGCGGCCCCGAGGATGGCGGGAACCATGATTTTGGAGAGATCGAGGCTGGAAAAGCTCAAATTCCCGGTTCCCGGCTATGTCTGGCGCCCCAACGGCAGCCCAGAAGATGGCGGGAACCATGATTTTGGAGAGATCGAGGCTGGAAAAGCCCGAAATCCCGGTTCCCGGCTCTGTCTGGCGCCCCAGGGGCTCACGGCGGCCTTGGACAGACCGAGGCTGGAAAAGCTCAAATTCCCGGTTCCCCGCTCTGTCGGGCGCTCCAGGGACCCACGGCGGCCCAGAGGATGGCGGGAACCAGGATTTTGGAGAGATCGAGGCAGGAAAAACCAAAATTCCCGGTTCCTGGTTCTGTCTGGCGCCCCAGGGACCCACGGAGGCCCAGAAGATGGCGGGAACCATGATTTTGGAGAGATCGAGGCTGGAAAAGCCCGAAATCCCGGTTCCCGGCTCTGTCTGCCGCCCCAGGGACTCACGGCGGCCCAGAGGATGGCGGGAACCAGGATTTTGGAGAGATCGAGGCTGGAAAAGCTCAAATTCCCGGTTCCCGGCTCTGTCTGGCGCCCCAGGGACTCACGGCGGCCCAGAGGATGGCGGGAACCAGGATTTTGGAGAGATCGAGGCTGGAAAAGCCCGAAATCCCGGTTCCTGGCTCTGTCTGGCGCCCCAGGGACCCACGGAGGCCCAAAGGATGGCGGGAACCATGATTTTGGAGAGATCGAGGCTGGAAAAGCCCGAAATCCCGGTTCCCGGCTCTGTCTGGCGCCCCAGGGACTCACGGCGGCCCGGAGGATGGCGGGAACCATGATTTTGGAGAGATCGAGGCAGGAGAAGCCCGAAATCCTGGTTCCCGGCTCTGTGCTCTGTGCTTTGCTGTCCTGTGCACTCTGCTGCTCTGTGCTCTCTGCTGCTCTGTGCTGTCTGCTGCTCTGTGCTGTCTGCTTCTCTGTGCTCTCTGCTGCTCTGTGCTCTCTGCTGCTCTGTGCTGTCTGCTGCTCTGTGCTCTCTGCTGCTCTGTGCTCTCTGCTGCTCTGTGCTCTCTGCGGCTCTGTGCACTCTGTGCTGCTCTGTGCTCTCTGCTGCTCTGTGCTCTCTGCTGCTCTGTGCTGTCTGCTTCTCTGTGCTCTCTGCTGCTCTGCGCTCTTCTGCTGCTCTGTGCTCTCTGCTGCTCTGTGCTCTCTGCTGCTCTGTGCTCTCTGCTGCTCTGTGCTCTCTGAAGCTCTGTGCTCCTTGCTGCTCTGTGCTCTCTGCTGCTCTGTGCTCTCTGCTGCTCTGTCCAAACCCGATTGGATTGGTTTTCGCTCGATTGGTTTTCGCTTGAACGGACTACCTTTTCGCTCGAACGAGCGTCTTTTCGCTTGAATGATCCACCCTGGGCTCCCCGCCTCGGCCGTGCCGCGGACACCCCCAGCGATGCCGAGCCGCCCCCCTCCTTCCCCCTCTCGGCCTCCCCCCTCTCCTCCTCCTCCTCCTCCTCCTCCTCCTCCTCCTCCTCCTCCTCCTCCTCCTCCTCCTCCTCCTCCTCCTCCTCCTCCTCCCCTTCCCCCTTCTTGCCCCCCTCTCGGCCTCCCGCCTCTCCGCATCTTGAGCAGGGGCCGGCCGTCCCGGCATCCCTATAGGCCTACCACGACATGCTCTCAGAACCCCCAACCTGTTCTACGAACAGACGCTGTGTTCTTAGAACATAAGCCCGATGCGTTAAAACAAGACGGCCCCAGCCAGAAATGTTTCCAGGAGCATTTCGTGCAAACCACAAAAGGCTCTTAGAACATTCTTTGATAGGCCTATAGGCGAGCCAGGACGCTTCGCCACTGCTTGAGCATCCCCCCCCCGTGCGGCTTGGTGTGGTTGGGGGCTCGTCTCGCCCCGCGGCGCCGGCCACCCAAGGGGTCCCTCCCCCCTGCAGGCGGGCGGTACTGTGAGGTCGGGCAAGTCCCCCTACAGGGGGATTGTGCGTAAGAAAATCAAAATACCCCAACACACACCCCAAACATAACCAAAATCCGCCGACACTGTCGGCGTGTGGAATGGGTTGTTCTTCTCGTCCGTGCCTCCTTCCCATTCCCAGCTTGTCCGTCTCCTTCTTCTCGTTCGTCTCCCCCTCCTCCTCCTCCTCCTCCTCCTCCTCCTCCTCCTCCTCCTCCTCCTCTTCCGTCTCTTCCTTCTTCATCGCCTCCTCCTGCGTAAAGTACATTAACTCGAATAGTTTCCCGTTCCCTTTCTTCCCTTCCCCGGCCCGGGGGGGGGTCCCGGGGGACACCCGGGGGGGGGGGGGTCTGGGGAGGGTCCCGGGTCAGAATACCACCTCCCTCCCTCCTCCTCCCCATCTTTTCCATCTCCTTTTCGTTTGTCTCCTCCTCCTCCTCCTCCTCCTCCTCCTCCTCCTCCTCCTCCTCCTCCTCCTCCCCCTCAAGCACATTGACTCGAAAGGTTTCCCCTTCCCTTTCTTCCCTTCCCCGGCCAGGGGGGGGGGTCCCGAGGGACACCCGGGGGGGGTCCTGGGGAGGGTCCTGGATCAGAATGCCTCCTCCCTCCTCCTTCTCCTGGGCGTCTTTTGCCATCTTTTCCATATCCTGTTCGTTTGTCTCCTCCTCCTCCTCCTCCTCCTTCTCATCCTCCTCCTCCTCCTTCTCCTCCTCCGGCCGAGGGGGGGGGGGGATCGCGGGGGAGGTCCCAGGGGGGTCCCGGGGGGGGGTCCCGGGTCAGAATACCACCTCCCTCCTCCTCCTCCTCCTGAGCGTCTTTTGCCACCTTCTCCATCTCCTTCGTTTGCTCCCCCTCCCCTCCCCCTCCTCCTCCTCCTCCTCCTCCTCCTCCTCCTCCTCCTCCCTCCTCCTCCTCCTCCTCCTCCTCTCTCCCTTCTCCTCCTCCTCCTCCTCCTCCTCCTCCCTCCTCCTCCTCCTCCTCCTCCTCCTCCTCCTCCTCCTCCTCCTCCTCCTCCTCCCCCTTCTCCTCCTCCTCCCCTCCTCCTCCTCCTCCCCCGCCTCCCCTCATCCTCCTCCTCCTCCTCCTCCTCCTCCTCCTCCTCCTCTTCCTCCTCCTTCTCAGATACTTCTTCCGCCTACCCTGTCACGTTGTCCTTTAGCTCCTTCCTGTGATCACACATCCCGTCGCCATCGACGGCCGAAACCTTCGGGGTCGGTAACAAAACAATAGTCCCCATGCTTTTTTTCTTCCTATTTTTGAATATTCCTCTAGTAGAGGGACGTACCCGACTTAATGGTGCTGGGGGGTGACCTCTATGGGAGAGGTGCAGAGAAGAGGGCCCTGCAGGGGGCATTTCAGGGTCATTGTTGGACGCCTTACGTATTGGCTTCAAACGGGGCCCTACGGGGCCCTCCTCCTCCTCCTCCTCCTCCTCCTCCTCCTCCTCCTCCTCCTCCTCCTCCTCCTCCTCCTCCCCTCCTCCTCCTCCTCCTCCTCCTCCTCCTCCCCCTCCTCCTCACCTGTGGGCTCCGTTCATTCACGCCCCATCTGGGCCACCTCGCCCCATTATCACCCGCCCGACTCCCCCCTCCCGCCGTCTGCCCCTCGTCGCCCGGTCCGCGGCGGGGGCGGGCCTCGCGCCGCTGGCGCGGAGCCCGCCAGGGCAGGCGCCCGAGGTACGCTGCAACCTGCACGTGCGCTGTGAAAACAGAGCGCTGGCTCTTCCATCCTCCTCGACTGTCTCGAGGGGTCCCCAGAGGTTCCCCCTAGGGTCCGAGGGAGCCCCTCGAGGTCGCAGGCGGGCCAGGATCCTCGAGACTCGAACCTCGGTCCCCCCCGGCACCCCCGACGTGTCCATGGCCAATCTGCCAAGAACTTCGGGGCGAATCCAGCCGTGGTGACGAAGCACTCACTCACGGACCGTACGCCGTCCATCGCGTCGGCAAGAAAACAAGTTCAAGCAGTCGCGAGCGGAAAGGGGGAGGGGGAGGAGGAGGAGGAGGAGGAGGAGGAGGAGGAGGAGGAGGAGGAGGAGGAGGAGGAGGAGGAGGAGGAGGACAACGGGGAAGATATACCGAACCCGACGGATCTCCACGAAAAGGCGGGGGAAGGTCCAGGATGCCTCCCAAAAGTTCAGACGGCCGCCGTCCTCGGACCTCGATTCCCCCTCTCGGAACCGGGCGAGTTGAATCATCGGCAACTCAAAATCCGTCCCTGGACCCCTCCTGGGGATCCAAACGCTGTAGTTTCCGAGATGCGTCCAGCCATGGCGACGAGGGGTCCCGAAGAAAAGCGGGTCTTACGCGATATGATCGCGGCCTTGCGCCGCAACTTACGCGGGCCGCCAGCGCGGCCTTGCGCGGGCAGCTTACGCGCCAACGGGAAAATGACCCTGGATTTTCTGCGTCGAGCAACTGCCGTTGTCTCAACTCGTCTGATGGGCCTGTTTTCCACCGCCACCACGACCAGAACTTGGAGGGGGAAGAAGGTGGAAGAGGAGGAGGGGGAGGAGGAGAAGGAGGAGGAGGAGGAGGAGGAGGAAGAGGAGGAGGAGGAGGAGGAGGAGGACCCCCTCCCCTTCCTACTTATGGTGGTGGTGGTGGTGGTGGTGGCGGTGGTGGAATACAAGCCCACCACTCGTTGCCCTTCTCTGATCAATCCCACCCTCGGGCGCGGCGGCGAGCCTCGATGAGCTCGTGTACCTGGTCCGCGAGGCGATTGAGCCTCGCGGGCCCGCCAGCAACCGCCGTGGGCTACACGCAAGAACGACCCTATACAATAGTTAATGTTTATTAAACAATTGCATGGGCGGACCCGTTTTTCACCAACACCACCATAAGTTAGAGAGGGCAAGAAGGAGGAGGAGGAGGAGGAGAAGCAGGAGGAGGAGGAGGAAAACGAAGAGGATTACCAGGACTACCGCATTGACATATGTCAACTGGAGGAGGAGGAGGAGGAGGAGGAGGAGGAGGAGGAGGAGGAGGAGGAGGAGGAGGTGGAGATAAATGGAAAGGCCGTCGGGGGCCCTTGGCCTGCAGCAGCTCTCGAGCCTGCCGGGGCCCCTTGGGGAGTTTCTTGGGAAACGCGCCCAACTGTGCCGCATCTGCGGCCCACGAGGCTGCCCGGGGCGAGGCGGGGCGCCAGGTGCGCGGTCGCGCGAGCCTGCGCCCTCGCTGCCCCGCTGCAGGGGGCCCCTGCTGGCTCGACGGGCATCCTATAAAAGGCAAGGGTCGGGGGTGCCTCTCGGGCGCGCCTCCCGCCTCTGGGGACTCCGCCCATGCCAGGTGGCGGGCGGCTGCCGCTTCTACATGGCGGTGCACCCCCCCCTTGGAAGACGTTCGAAATTCTGGGCAGGTGGGGATCGGGCGCTGGCTCCTCCTCCTCCTCCTCCTCCTCCTCCTCCTCCTCGCAATCACATGCGCGCCCCTCCTCCGAGCCAGCGCCGTCTCCTGAGGGCCTCTTGCAGCCTCCGCACCTTCCGAATCGATCCACCACCCCCGGAAGGGGTGAAAGCGCGCGGCGAGCGGGGAGGGGGGGGGGGGAAGGGGGAGGAGCCGATGGGGGCCAGCCGAAGCCAGGAACCAAGGCCCCCGTCCAGAGTGGAAGAAAAGGGGCGGGGGGGAAGCAGCGGATGGGCGACAGCCGCAGCCCCCATTGGTTGCTGAGCGTCGCCTGTCAGCGCTCTTATGAGGCTTGTACCGGTTTTGATTCAAAATGGCAATGAAGTCACAGGCAAGTGCGAACGCGAGTCGTGTGTCAGAAATATTAAGAACTACCAGCCCATCCACCATTCAAACATGTCGCCGCATTTCCTGACAACCCCAACCTCGATCCATGTATCCGGTGGCAAAAGGAGTTGTTTTTGTTTGAGATCATTGCTCTAAATCTGCCAAGTTTGTAGTATATTGCTTCCGCTACCCAATCTCCATATTGAGATGTCAACAGTGCTTCGAAAACCCCGTCGGCGACTTGGCTCTCTGCGATTTCTGCATGTTGTGCTGTCTAGCAATCGTGTCCAAACCTTCCAAGTGACTGTCCATACCCTTCAAGAATTGATCATTCATCTCGTATTTTTCTCGCTATTGACAAGATTTTCTTGTGGCGGTGCCGTGCGCGAGTTCAGGCCGTCGGGGCATTTATCTGAAATGGCTGAGAATTAAGGAAATGAATCCATCGCTGTCAAGTGAGGCTATCACTTCTTCAAAATAACGATCCGTGTAAGCGTATTGGCTGGCGTACTGTAAGTCCTCCGTGTCGACCGTGCCGTAGGAATCCGAGCTGTTTCGTTCTGCTTCCGTTGCGACATGGCCATCGCTCTCATGTACAGGCGGCGCGTCCTCATTCAGTGCCGCTTCGAACTCTAGCCCTGGGGGTGGTGTGAGAGAGCGTGCCCCGTACGAGTGCATGCCGTCTCCTCCCGATTCCAGAAAGCCCAGCCCAAACAACTCGCTGGAAATAAGCTCCGTGACCTTCTTTTGTTGCGAAATTATTGTATGTGTTCTTCGGGTACGCATTCGACGCTTCATTGCAGAGGTCACACAAGTAGGCGGCACAATGCAATTCAACATCATGCTTGAAGGTACAATATCGGATATATGGCTACGATATGCCTCCGGCCCCTGCTTCGACGACTATGGGAGCTCCCCAGGCCCCTTGCCGCGCGGGCCTGCGAAGGGGGGGGCTGTTAAGGCGCTGGTGTACAATTGTACGTGAGGTTCGGTCGCTCAAAGTCCGAACCTCGACCCAGCGGCCTAGGAGGTGGAGGAGGCGGAGGAGGAGGAGGAGGAGGAGGAGGAGGAGGACCCCCTCCCCCTCCAACTTATGGTGGTGGTGGTGGAAAACAGGCCCATCATCTCTTTCTCCTCGAGCCATGCTCCGAGCAGCCTCTTGATGACGAGCGTGGGCCACTTACGAGTGACCGGGGGGCGGAGTGCTCCCTAGATGGGCGACGAATGCCGCGCATCTTTTGTACACTAGTGTGCCAATCCTCTACTGCATTTGTGCGCGGCGTCTGAGGGGCGCGAGGGGGCCAAACCCAAGCGCGCAGGACGCTATTATCGCATCGTATGCAACGATCGGAGGGCCAGTGAGCCCGCACCAGAGGCCACTCTTTGAGCAGGGGCCGACCGTCTCAGCAATCTCATAGGCCTACCACGACATGTTCTTAGAACACACCAGTGTTCTAAGGACAAAAGCGAGGTTCTTAGAGCACAAGCCCGATGCTCTTGAGCGAGACAGTCAAATGCTCACAAATACTTTAAAACTGCTCAAAAAATGGTACCCAGACTATGTTTGGACTATCTTGGAGTTTTCCTCCTGTAGAGGGACATCGGGAGCGGCCAAGAGGGCGGTGTCCAAGGGGAGGGGGGTGCAAATCATGAACGGCGGCATGTGCGCGGCCCAGCGGGGGGGCCAGGGACGTGATGAAAGAAGAAGAGGCGCCATGAGATCTGGGGAAATATCATACCCCCCGCCATGATATCCGCCCCCCCTAGTCATGTATATATTCCCGCCCCGGATTCTCGGCCCTGTGTCTCTCCCATGGCCTTCGGGCATGTCCTCCCGAAGGCGGCCTTTGGGAGAAAAATGAAACATAGCCCAAATATACTCAAACATGATCGAACACATCCTCGAAACATCGTCCCCGGCCTATTTTTGTTGACTTTGCTTGAATCTCCTTCCTGTAGGGGGACGCGCCCGACTCTCCCGGTCGGCTACCCGTAAGAATGACCCCTTCGCCTGCGTGACCTTCTGGTGCGGGCCCATTGGGGCCCCCCCGATCAGTCATGGTGTTTTTTTTTGACATCCACGGTCAAAGACCCATGAAGCCTGGGCGAAAAGGCTGACAGGAGGAGATCGCCCCTGAGGCACATTCCGCCAACACATCAGTCCGACGACCCCGAGCTCTCCTCGCCTTCGCGAGGGCTCGGGAAGGGGCCCTACAGTTAAGTCGGGCCTGTCCCCCTACAGGGGGATTTTGGATGAAAACTAAAAAAAATAGTCAAAACATACTCCAAAATGGTCAAAACATGCTCCAACCAAAAAATAGTTCCCGTATTATTTTTTGACTATTCCTGAATGCTCCCCCTGTAGAGGGACAAGCCCGACACAGAATCCCACAGATGCAAAGATCGGTGCGACCTGACTTGCTGACGGCAGCGAGACGGCATGCCAGGAAGCATCCGATGGTCGGGTCGGGCGAAAGGGGGGGATAGCAAAGGGGGGGTTTGAGCATCAGCTCTCGTAGCTGATTTTCCCGGCGCCTCCCGGCGCCGGAGGCGGCTATGTATCGAGGAATGGGCCCGGCGGCGGGGCAGAAACCGATCCCCCCCTTCCGCCCGGCCCGAGATGGAACCCCGCCGCCTCTCGGGGGCTCCCACGGCGGCTCGGAGGCACGGCGGGCTCCGGCCGCGACGAGGACGAGGCCAGCGGCCAGCGGCCGGGCGCCGAGAGCGAGGGCAACAGGATCGAACACACGTGCTCGAAGAGGAGGAGGAGGAGGAGGAGGAGGAGGAGGAGGAGGAGGAGGAGGAGGAGGAGGAGGAGGAGGAGGAGGAGGAGCGGGAGGAAGGGAGGAGGAGGAGGAGGACGAGGACGAGGGCAACAGGATCGAACACACGTGCTCGAAGCATCGTCCCTCGCCTGTGTTTCTGGACTACTCTTGAGGGGGGCGCGCCCGACTCGTGGGGGGGGGGGCGCGCCCGACTCGTCCGGGGCCTCGCCGCCTCTCGGGCTGCGTGGCTCCCGTTGTGCTTGAGGACCACCTCTACAGGGGGGATATTCAAGAACAGTCAAAAAGTAGTCTGGGGACTATTTTTAGATATTTGTTAAATATGTTTTGAGTATGTTTCGAGTCTTTTGTATTCTTCGTCCAAAATCCCCCTGTAGAGGGACACGCCCGACTTAATCGTACTTGTTGCTGGGAGGTACAGGCCCGACTGAAAAGTACGAGCACCCGGTATCGAAGCAGCGTCGAGCGATCATCGCCTCCCGGGGCCCGACGCGGGAAGGCCCCGAGGTTTCGGCGCTCCCGTGGTGCTCGAAACACTCTCTCTGGTGAGCTCAAGGGGCGAAGGTCGGCTTAGGTCGGGCTTCTCTCCCTGCAGGGGGATGTTCGACGAAAAATGGAAAGTACGCCAAACATGCTCAAGAGATGCCCAAAGATACTCAAAGCATAGTTCCCAGACTATGTTTTGACTATTTGGGAATCTTCCTCCTGTAGAGGGACAGGCCCGACTTAAAAGTAGGCTGAAGTGGGCTGGAACATCACTGAAGGGGCCCTGGGACACACAAATAGATACACAAAAAACAGGATTCCCCATATGTACCTGTATTTTCTGGGTTTTTGCCTTCCCCCCCCCCACTTCCCACATCTTCCCGTGTTTTCTGGGGAATCGACGATTCATTGTGTCTGTGCTTCTTTCCTCCGGAATCACATTTGGAGTCCCGACACGGTGCGGTGACGGACTGTGCGGTGACCTCGAAATCCCCCCAGACCTCACCGCACGGTCCGTCACCGCACTTGTCTTGGGACCCCAGAGGCCCCCGTCGCCCGAGACGTCCTCGGAGAACGACCCGAGTCCCAAAACCGTGCGGTGACCCCGAATCCCCACCGACTCACCGCACGGTGTGGTCACCACCCCGATTGGGGGCCCCCGACAACCATGTTCGGCGTCGGCCGGTTCCGGACCACCGGCTGCTGCACAGGAGGAGGAGGAGGAGGAGGAGGAGGAGGAGGAGGAGGAGGAGGAGGAGGAGGAGGAGGAGGAGGAGGAGGAGGAGGAGGAGGAGTAGGACGAGGAGGGGAAGAGGGCGGGCGAGGCGGCGGGAGAGGCGGGCGGGAGGGGAAGAGGGCGGGCGAGGCGGCGGGAGAGGCGGGCGGGGGGAGGAGACGAGATGGGGGGGAGGCGAGGAGACGAGGAGGGAGGGAGAGGAGGAAGTGGGGAGGGAGGGAGGGAGGGACTTCGCTGGAATTCGCTGATGTCCACGCAGGTGGCGGGGGAGGAGGGCGGGAGCAGGCGGGGGAGGGGGTCGTTGGGGGAGGGGGGAAGGAGGCGAAGGGACGAGGAGGCAGGCGATGGGGAGGGAGGACGGGGATGGGGATGCGGCGGGCAGCGTCGCGGCGCGCGCGCGCGCTGGGGGAGGGGGGGGGCGGCGCCGTGAGCCCTTCCGAACCCACCACGTGAGCCCCAGTACGGGCACCAACACCTCGCCGCGCCGCCCGCGGCGGCGGCGGCGTCGTCGCCGCCGTCGTCGCCCTCCTCGCCATCTCGTCCTCCTCCGCCTGCTCTCGCCTTCTCGTCCTCGCCCTCCTTCTGCTCCTCGTTCTCGCCCCACACCTCCTCTTACAGTGTAGGCCAATCCACAAGAAACCTTCCACAAGAAACCCAACCCTGAGACCCCAAGACGTCCATTGATAATTGGCGTGGGAACGTCACTCTTTCCGTAGAACGCTATCGAGACCCGAGAAACCCAGGACACCCTGGACGCAAGCAGGGTGTTTCGTGGCATGGGTTTCCACTGTAGGGGGTGGGTGGGAGGGGAGAGGGGAGGAGAAGCGCGTCCCACCAGCCCTTCGGGAGGTGGCTCAGAACCTTTCTTCTTCCTCCTTCCCCTTCCAGGAGGAGTTGCATCACCTGTTCCCCACCCCCTCCCCCGTGTCTGGACAGGGTTCCACTCGAGACGTTAGAGTGTCCTTTTGGGCCCAAGATGGCTCTAAGAGGGCCTCGGGTAGCCCAACATGGCCTCCGAGATGGCCCAAGGCAGCCCACTATTGCTAAACAGAACCTCCAACATGCCCCCGATAGGCCACACGATCACTCCAAGACGGCTCCACATGGCCACGGAGGTTCCCAGAGAGACCTCCGAGGGGCCCAACTCACTCGAACACAACAGGCTTGTCCAGTGGCTTTTGGCTTCTCGCCATTTCGCTTCCCGGGGGCCTCCGAGGCCGCCAGGCTGCCCCAAGACCACCGAACAAAACTCCAAGAAGGGGCCATGAAAGGTCTTGGACTCGGCGGCGAGCCTGGGGGGGAAGTGAAAAAGGGGCGTGCCTTCTCAAAGGCTCGGACGGCCTCCGGCCTTCTGAGGAGTTCTCTACATAAGCCTTCCCCGAAAACACATGCACCTTACTAAAGGCCAGGGGGCTTCTGAGAAGTCCCGCCGCCTTCTGAGAAGTCCCGCCGCCTTCTCACTTCCACCCCTCGCTCGCCGCCGAAAGACGACCCCAGGAGCTCCTACGAGCGCACAACGAGCGCACCACGAGGCTCTGTAGGGGCAACCTCACTCGGCGCCGCCCCCTTCGCTCCTAAACCAACGTTGGCCGACCCCTTGGATGTCTTCTCGGAGTGTGAGGCTCTTGTCAAGGCTCCCAGCCCCGAGGTGCCCTCGGCGTTTCGCTGCAAATTTCGGAGCCCCTGTGGGGCCTACTGGGCCTCGCGAAGGGTGCTCTGGAGGCCGTCGGGGGTCTCCTTGGAAATCCTGGGGGCACCATGGACCAGGGACACTTCTGGTAACACCCGACGGACCCCCTCCCAGGAGCCCGACCTGGCCAGTTCGGAGGAGGGGGCGGGGGAGGGAAGGGGCGACCCCCCCGGCGACCTGCTCTGCTTGAGACATGCTCCCGGACGGCCTGGGATAGCCTCGCCCCTGGGTGCGCCCGCGACGCCGCCCCGCGCCGCTGCCGGGGGCTGCCCCGCAGCCTGGCCGCCCCGCGCGCTCCCCGCGGCTGCCGCCGCGTGAGAGCGCTTCCCCGGAGGAGGAGGAGGAGGAGGAGGAGGAGGAGGAGGAGGAGGAGGAGGAGGAGGAGGAGGGCCTCCTTCTTTGTCTGCGGCCGCCGCGTTCTTTCTTGTCCTTCCTCCCTTGCATGCGGGACAGTGGCAACGCCGTAGCCCGGAGTGCTCGACGCGCGATCGCATCGCCTCTGCCGCGCCGCGACGGAAATTTGCCTGCCGCTCGTGATGCTTCGATCCAGTCCTCGCCCCCTCTTGGGCGCCCCTTGGCTCCACTTCCTGCGAAGACGACAGCTCGGGAGGGCGACAGATCATCAACGACACGGTGCCGCTGGTTGCCCGCCAGAATGTGACTCCTCTTTTTTGGTCCGACAGCCTGTTTCCCTAGCCGTCCTTCTCCACGTCCTCCTCGTCCTCCTTCTCTCTCCTCGCCCTCCTCCTCCTCCTCCTCCTCCTCCTCCTCCTCCTCCCCACGGCGGCGTGTCATTGTTACTGTGCTTGACCCCCTAGGCAAGAACGGCTCCCCGGTGCGGGCGCGCATTGCCGATGAACAGGGGCGTGGCCAGCGCCTCCCGGAAGTCACTGGCGGCGCGCCGCTGCTGGCTCCCCTCCCCTCTCCGCGCTGGGCGCGAGGCACCTCCGCCTCCTCCTCCCGCCTGCTCCCTCCCTCCTCCATTTCCTCCTCCTCCTCCTCTGCCTCTTTTTCTTCTTCTTCTTCTTCTTCGTCTTTCTCCTCCTCCTCCTCCTCCTCCTCCGCCTCCTCCTCCTCCTCCTCCTCCTCCTCCTCCTCCTCCTCCTCCCTCCTCCTCCTCCTCCCCTCCCCCTCCCTCCCTCCTCCCGCATCCTCCTCCTCCTCCCCCCTGCTCCTGCTCCTGCTCCTCCTCCTCCTCCTCCTCTTCCTCCTCCTCCTCCTCATCCCTCCTCCTCCTCCCTCCTCCTCCTCCTCCTCCTCCTCCTCCTATTCCTCCTCCTCCTCCTCCTCCTCCTCCTCCTCGAACTCATCCCTCCCCCTGGTCCCCCTCTCTCCTCGGCCTGCTCCCCCCGCCCCGTTCGCCTTCTCTCCGCCCACACAAGGAGCTCCTGGCCGCTCTATTGGAAAACTCCTCGGAGGTCTCCGGACGTCCCCGAAGTGTCCACTGACGGTTCTGGAGGTTCCCCCCAAGAACCCCTCGGGCAATGAACAAATTATGACGGGATTTTTTTGCTATCTGCGGCCTCTGGGGGCACTTCCCGGCCCTCGAGACCGTCAAAAAACGACTCAGGATGAAAAACCGGTCCAGGGGAATGGGTCGAGACCTCCAGGGGTCGACGTAATGAAAAAACATGACGTCGAGGGTCTGGGCTGAAGGCTCTGCAGGTTCCCAGATGCCTCCTAAGGCCCGCCAAGGGCCCCCGACACTTCTCAAGGTATAACCAAATCATCGGTCCTCGAGGCCCCCTCAGCTTCTCTCCTCCCGCGCCTGGCAGCCTCGTCCCTCCACGCCCCCTGGCCTCCAAGTGTCCATCTGCCGAAGAGGCCCGAGTGAAAGACGCTGCGGGTAGCTGGGACAACATAATCTTCTGGAGGCTCCTCAGAGCACTGGGGTATACCACCCTACAGCCGAACCCCCCCAACGCATGGACCAAATCCACGCGCATTTTCATGGGATCGGAAAGGTGAGGATAGAAGAAGATCTGTTCAAACGGCCTTGGAAAGAAGGACACGTAAGCATCCGGCAGGGTTCACTCCCCGCCTTGGGATAACCCCCCCTCCCCTCTACGAACCCTGGACAATACTGGGCCAGGGTGGTGCGTGCGCCTTAGCTTCCTCGCTCCTCCGAGAGCCCCCTCCCTCCAACGCAACGCGGTTGCGGATTCGCGCGGTGACCCACTTGGGGACGCCATGGCCGGGCTCAGAGGCAAGGATGCGCGGCGATCGAGGACGCAAAGCCGTGGGCGTCCGTGCTAAAACGTCCTCTCGGAGGCGCAGGGGCCCTCGGCAGCCCGGCAAGAACGGATGGAATCTGCAGTGGCAACTTGTAAAAACACTGCTTCGGGGGAAACCAAAACGTACCGACACGGTCCTCCCCTAACCTCTCCGGGGGTGCGTTCTAACCAGAATCTCGAGGCGAACCCAGCGGTGAAGCAGGCGACAACGAGGCGAGGGTGGCGGTATTTGTACCTGCTCATCCTCTGAGCTTCCTTGTTGCGACTCCAAGCCTTTAATCGGCTGCGGCGTTGCCGCTCAATGTGTTGACGCACGCGGCTCTCCATCCCTCTTCCTCCTCCTCCTCCTCCTCCTCCTCCCTCCTCCGTAGCCATTTTGGCTCAAGGCCAAAATGGTGTTCATTTCACTGCCGATCTGGGGTCGGCTCCCACAGCTATCAGTGCTCTTCGTATCCGCAGCCACACTCACGGGCGAGCTGCCGCCCATGGCAGCTACACTCACGGGCGAACTGCCGCCCATTCCATACTCCTCCCTTGCGTGGCTCGCGAGAGCTCCCTGGGAAGCAGTGGGACGATGGCCGCCGCAGAGCGTGGTGGAGGGACCGCCCCTGCTGACGGAGGAGCAGCCGCCAATGGCGGCACCAGGCCGCGACGTGCACGCCCTGAAGGCGGACGAGGCTCGCCAGCAAGGTTCGCAAGCGAGTGCACACTCTGCAAGCACTGCTGGTACTCTGGACATGGAAGAGGAAGTCCGAGTGCTTCTACTGTGGCAAGCAGCTGGCTCCATCACCTGCCGAACACCGCCAGCCCACAGGGGCTTGGGCAGGAGCCAGCAAGCCACCGCCGTGGAAGGAGCAGCCAGCGGCCGCCGCCCCGACTAGGGACGCCATCCTCGCCACGCTCAGCACGCTCCTCAGCGACACCAAGCACGCCGAACTCGTCGGCAACCTCATGGACGCCCTCCAGCAGCCCGACAAGCCTCAGCCTGCCCGCGCAGCAGAGCAGGTGCTCCAGTCGGCGCTGTCAGTCCTCACCGACAGGGAGAAGAAGTTCAAGCAGGCAGTCGATGACGTCGAGGCCGCCAAGCAGTGGTACGACGACGCCGTGGACAAACAAGAGCAAGCCGCCCTGGACCTCGTCCAGGCACAGAACGCATGCGCCAAGGCACAAACTGACCACAGTGCCAAGCTTGCTGAAGCAGTACGCGGAGCACCACCTGTGGGGCCTCAGGAAGCCTTCAAGGTCGACAGCTCTATGTGGGACGACCTCTCCATCTACGACGAGGGCACCCGCACCCAGATGGAACAGTGGAAGCAAGAGCTCGACCAGCGCCTCGCCGAGCTCAACTATGGCCAATAAAAAATACGTGAGCTCCTACGCCAAGCCAAGGAGTCCACCACCAACCCTGCGAAGCGAAAGAAGCCGAATGGGGAGGCACCTGCTGCTCAGCAGCCTCCTCCTGAGTCTGCTCCCGCATCGCCAGCGGAACAGCAGCCAGCGGCCGCGCCTGGGGGACAGGAACAACCTGGCACGCCAGGAGGTTCTGCCGCCCCACCTGCTGAGCCACGCCAGCCTGAAGGGGCCCCTGGACCCGCCGCAGTCGCCCCTGCCGCCGACGAGCCCTCCGTGGAGGACCGCAAGGCCGCCGCCGAGCTCATCGCCACCGCCGCCAGGGCCAGGGAGGTGGCCTTCGCAGCTAAGGGCATGGGCAAGGGCGCCACCACGGTGCCAGCGGCAGCGGCAGGAGCCCCACCGTCGCTGGGGTAGCCGCAAGCAGCCTCATCGGCTTAAGGGGCCTGGGAACCGCGCCAGTGGGTCCCCCACGGCAGGGGCACCCGCCCCTAGCCCGAGCAGACAGCGCAGATCCTGTTCGGCAACATAACGGCTCGGGGCCCGCAGGCCGCGAACTTCTGTCGCAACGCAGGCAACAAGTACCACCTCATAGCGCTAGCGGGGGCGCGCGTCGACGCGAGCGGCCTCACGGAGCAGATTGGCAAGCTCGCCATGGACGGCTGGAAGCGGTCGGCCACGCCCGCGGTGGCCACCAACAAATCGGACAAGGGGGCCCATGTCGGCGAGTGGATCCTCACGCGCAGGGACGTGGCGGCGACCACGTTCGAGGGCTACAGGGACTACTATGTCAAGCGCCACAAGAGGCAGCCGTTCGCGGGGTTCACGCCGACGGTCCTCCACTCCAAGAGCGGCAACATAGTCGTCGTGGCGGCGTACCTTCGCCCTGGCCTACGGGACCAAGGCGCGAACAGGGACATCCTGGTCTCCATCTCCACCTTCGTGGACATGCTCATGGACCCGTGGATCATCCTGGCCGACTGGAACTACGAGCCGCACTGGTGGGGCAACAAGCCGTGGCTCACGCGCTGGAACGGCACCATCCTGACTGACCCGATCTGCGAGGCGACGTGCGACAAGGGCTCGGGCTCCGTGTACGACTGCGCCATCGTACGGGCGGACATCGCCACGCACGTCGGGGTCGAGGCCATCTACGACGTCCCCTGGAAGACCCACTGCGGCATCCAGATCACGGTGGGCACCGCCGAGCCGCGGCAGTACAAAGCTATAAATGTTCCCAAAGCCCTCCCCGCACGAGCCAGGCCCAAGAAGGTCGCGGACCCGAACAGCAAAAGGTCCAAGGCTCGAGCGGAGGCGTTGCGAACCAGGAGGGAAAGGCTACCAGAGCACTTGCGCGACGAGTTCGGCGCCCTGTACACCAACCGCGAGACGGCCAAGGAGGACCCCGCCCCCTTCGTCATCCCCCAGGAGAACTGGGACGAAGCCGCCGACGGGTCAGCAACTTCCCGAAGTTCGATGGCGCAAAGGTCGGCACCAAGGAGGGCAGAGGACACATCTTCCACAACCATGCGCCGAACCTCGCGGATAACATCAACTCGAAGTATGCGCAGTGGATCGCGACCCTGGAGCTCGCCGTCCTGGAGACGCACGCGGTCCCCGTCGAGGACAGGGCCAGGTACCAGGGCAGGGCAGAGGGGTACAGGACCACCAAGCAGACGATGAAGGCGTCGCCTGGCAGAGCGTACCTCATGGACCCCGAGGCCACCTGGTGGCAGCACCTCAGCACCCTTCTCGTGAGGTACACCGCGCTGGTCACCAACGGCAAGGACCCCAAAGCCCGCCAGCACATACACAAGACACTCATGAAAAAGTTGGACGACCTGGAGAACCCCGAGTTCTCCAAGGAGCACTTCGGTAGAAAAACCGACCCGCAGGAGATCGAAGAGTGGAAGACCCAGCTCGCTTCCCTCGAGTCCTGCGACGAGGATGACCTGCACCGCATCAGCGCCACCACCATGGAGTGGACCCACAAGGCCATGGCGAGAGCTGCAGGCAGAGCGCGAAAACGATACCTCGACTGGGCGAAGCAGGCGTGGAAGGATTCACCAGGCAAGCTGCGCCGCATGGTCGCCGGCCCCAAGGCGCCGCGCCTGGAGGACAAGCAGCCCCAGAAGACGGTGGGCGACCCATCCACGGTCATGGGCCACTCCGCCGACACCTGGCGCTCCATTTGGGCGTCCGACAGCTGCGACGCCAAGCAAATCATCAGCGCATACGAGAAGGCCATGCGACTTGCGATAGAGGACCCTCTCTCGCCAATCGAGCCGCAGCACGTAGAAGCCATCGTG